TTCCAGCTTGGATGGGAAATTGTTGGCTGGGTCTCCTGGGACTGAGCAGCAGCACTGAAAACACAAAGACACGGTTGTTTTGAGGGACGTGAGTGGTGAGGCTGTAGGAGATGGGGAGGAGGGGAAGGATGAGGACAGAGCCGAGTTGATTCCAAGGTGCCAGCGCAGGTCGAAGGGCCGAGAAGGCAGGAAACGTGAGCAGTGACACTGTGACCTTGCACTCCTGCTTCAGCACATGAGGAGGGAGGGGCTGTCCATGTTCGGAAGGATGTGGGAGGAGCCAAGGGTCCCGGCAGCCGCCGGCTGTATGAGCCGAGCCCTTGGGAAGTGTGGGAGCACAAAGCCTGGCACGAGGCTGGCTGAGATCGGTGTGTGCCTCCTCTCCCCCCAGGCATGCCGCTGATGTACTGGTTCTCCCGCAGAATGACGCTCTGGGGGAGCATTTCCTTCAACCTGGCTGTCTTCATCAACATAATCATTGCTTTCTTCTACCCCTATGTTGAAGCCACTTCCATGGGTAAGTGCCCCAGCATCTGCTGCTCCTCAAGGAGGAAGAAAAAGGGGACGTGCATATGCAAGAAGACCGGCCCCCTTACTTGTACATGCATACTTCAGTCTCCTTTTGACTCCTAAAGCCCTGACTTCTTTCTGCTCGGAGGAATTGAGTCAGGATTTCGGTTACCAGCCCTCCCACTGCTTCCTTCTTAGGGAAGAGTCTTTTCCCTGGCCTGTCCCGTTTGTAAAATGGGGAAGCAATGACAGAATATGCACCCGCTGCCGGGTGAAGCCTCCATCATTCACAGCGGTGTCGAGATCTCAGATAAAAGATGTTAGAAAAATGTTATCAGGAAGGAAATCTTAATCAATACTAGTCCTTGCAGTCAAGCATCATTTGTCTTTATTCCCTCTGACAATCAGCACATTAGTTTTCCTGGACAGTCTGGACAGCAGCAGTGTCTCACTGATCTCATGCCATTTAATTGCTGTGGGTCTTCTCTTCCCAGGTGTGCTGGATTCCCCCTTGATCTCGCTGCTCTTCTGGATCCTGATCTGCTTCTCCATCATGGCCTTGTTCACCAAGCGCTATGGTGTCAGGCCGCTCCTCGTGGCACTGATCTTGCGGTCCATCTATTACTTGGGGATTGGACTCACTCTGAACATACTGGGAGCTCTCAATGTAAGTCCTCCGTGTGCTGGCAAAATAGCATAGGAGGCTGTTCTGCATCCATGAAGTGCACAATCCCCACTCCCTCCCATTTCTGGTTGTTCCCCAGCTGACCAACAAGATTGTGTTTGTGGTGAGCTTCGTGGGCAATCGTGGGACCTTCATCCGGGGCTACAAGGCCATGATCATGGATGTGGAATTTCTTTACCACGTTGGCTACATCGTGACGAGCGTCCTGGGTCTCTTTGTGCACGAACTCTTCTACAGCATCCTGGTACAATAAATGCAGATGTCTGGGGCGTGGAGGCAGCCTCTCTGCCACAGTAGAATCTAGAAGGTTCCTGTGGCACTGTTCAGGGGCTGATAGGTAGCAGCAATGAGAACAGTTCACTGTGCTCTAATCTTTGCGTAGGCTGATCTTCTGCCTTTCGACAGTATCTATTACTGTCTTTCCCCTGGTCTTTTGCTTTCTAATCTCTGCTGTGTACTTTATCTGGGTCAGCTGGGAGACAACGTGCGCTGGTGAGGGCAGAGGCAGGGTGCACGTGTCTGTTCTTGGCTCCCCTGCTGAGCCCACGTCACTTCATTCTTCTCTGCTTCCCTTCAGTAACTGGGAAACTGGTCAAGGTCTGCTGAGGCACCCAAGAGCTCAGGATGAAAGGGCTGTAGGTAGGCCAGGGATTCTCAAGAAAGCACCCCATGGCAATTTATTGCTCCTGGGTCCTTTCAGCTCTTTGACTTGATCTACCGCGAGGAGACCTTGTTTAATGTCATCAAAAGCGTGACGCGGAACGGGCGCTCCATCCTGCTGACAGCCCTCCTGGCTCTCATCCTCGTCTACCTCTTCTCCATCGTCGGCTTCCTATTCCTGAAGGATGACTTCATCCTGGAGGTGGACCGGCTGCCGGACAGCAAAGCCAAAGGTTGTTCACCCCCTGCCCTTGCTGGTTGTGGTGCTTGGGCTGGAGAGGGGCCAAGCAGAGCACGGATCCTCTGCTGCAGCGTGAGCCCCCGCTGCCCCCCGTGCAGAGCACACACGTGTTCCTGTGCGTGTGTCATGGGCAGCACATGGGTTTGCACAGAGAGCTGCCTGTGCTGAGCTGGGGACCTCGTGCTGCAGAGAGCAGGGGTTTGGGGCTGGGAGTGATTGCAGAGAACTGGGGAGACAGCTACAAGTGACATGTTAGTGCTGTAGAGAGAAACTTGGGCAAAAGATTCAAAGCCTGGAAAAGGCTTGGAAAATATGGAGCAACTTTTTTTCCGAGAAGCTTGAGAGCTACAAGAAGAGGCAGTTGAAAAGCAGTGGGGCGAGGAGCTTTACTAAGGCAAGCTGATGCTCTGACGAGGCTGTGGCCTCTTTTACTTGCAGATGACCCCTTGGGGATGCAAAGGAACATGGAGACCTTCATGGAGTCATGCAGCGGTGACAAAATTAGCTGCTCTGCTGTGCCCACTGCCTTGGAAGGTAAGCGAGCTCATTAGGAAGGTTGGCTCTGTTAGTGGCAGAGTAGGTTGGCTGCCTTTGTCAGCAAGCTCAGAAAATTCCCAGCTTTTCAAAAGTGGAAGCAAGCAACCCACTTCTGGCATGTATTAGGCAAGAGGCCCGCAAGTTCTGCACTGACCCTGGCATAAAAAGTGTTGAAGCAGGTTCAGTTTAGTCATAAAGAAAGTGGGAGCTTCGGGAGCGCTCAGCCAAACACCTCCATAGCTAGAAGCAAGCTGGAGGCTCGGCTGGGAAGTTGCTAGTGGGAGATCCACAGCTCCCGGGAGATTTGCCCCTGCATCCCTGCAGCAGGAGTCATCCCACAGCTCTGGATTCTTTGTGATGCTCTGGCACTTGAGCCCTGTCTGTGCTCTGAGTCTTTGCTCTCATTTCCCCCTCTGGTGTCCCAGAAGCAGAGGCAGAGCAGTGGGAACGCGCCTGCGACACGCTGCTCATGTGCATCGTCACGGTGCTGAACCACGGGCTGAGGAACGGCGGCGGCGTGGGGGACATCCTGCGGAAGCCATCCAAGGACGTGAGTTTGGGCAGCACGTGGGAGCTCATCCTCTCGCTGCATCCTCTGCATCTGTGCCCTGCACATCCCAGTGGAGCCTGGGATCCTTCCGGCTCCATCCCCACACTGTCTTCCAGTGCTGCCTCCTCTTCCCCATCACACCTTCATTCCTCGTCAGCGGGTACCCTCAGCACACGGCCTGTGTAACAAGGCAGCGTGGTTGGAGTGGCTGGAGGAGAGGTGTGCAGGAGACACATTTATCCCTTTCATCTCTTACAGGAGTCCTTGTTTCCTGCTCGGGTTGTCTACGACCTCCTCTTCTTCTTTATTGTCATTATCATTGTCCTTAACCTCATCTTTGGGGTCATTATTGACACCTTTGCTGATCTGAGGAGTGAGAAGCAAAAGAAGGAAGAGATTCTGAAGACAACCTGTTTCATATGTGGTGAGTGCTGGGACCTCAGGCTGTAGGAACTGCTCCAAAGCTTTTCCTCCTTTCTAAGCTGAGCGAAGGGGAGAAGTTTCAGTTGGTTTCTGGTTTTCATTTGTTTCACAGCAAAACTTCAGTATATTCACTGATGGTTCACTGCAGTGTGAGGAGGCTTAAGCAAAGACACGAACTGCGAAGGGAAATTATCTGTCTTGTTCCTCACCTTCTGTTAATGAGCTGTTAAACTAAGCCACCACATTGTGGAGTTCTTGTCGCTGTGTATCTGTGACTCCTGAGACCATCATTTAGCCAGGGGGGGGGAAAAAAGCACCATATTCCTAAAGAAATAAGATACAGAAAATGTTCTGGAATCCTTTCAGTCATGGGAAGGCATCCAAAAAAGGAATACCCCAGTAAGTCTAGCTGCTTTTTTCTTAAAAGATCCACTGGGTGCATTTTATGCTCTTAGATACACAGGCAGAACATGTAGCTGGTAGTACTTTAAATAGAAGGCTCCTGAATACTCAACTGGGTTATTTCCCCCGTGTTTTGGGTGCTTGTTGTGTGCTAAATGCCAACTAATTATTAAAAGCACTTCTTGAGAGTCACACCTGGGAGAGGATGCAACTTCCTGGTTTCCTTTCACATGCGTTTGCTTGCTCACTTCTTGCCTTCTCTTCCTTTCTCCATGCTTTCCCACCACCTCTTCCTATCTCACCTGTCTTTCCCAGGGCTCGAAAGGGACAAGTTTGACAACAAGACAGTGTCCTTTGAGGAGCATATTAAATATGAGCACAACATGTGGAACTACTTATACTTCATAGTGCTGGTGCGAGTGAAGAACAAGACAGACTACACAGGGCCAGAGAGTTACGTGGCGCAGATGATAAAGGTATGGCTCTTCTCAGGGCAGCTCTTTCACTGCTGCAACCTGCCTGCCCTGGGGAGTACTTGAGAACAAGGGGCTTGCCAGAGAAAAACAGTTTGAGAAGGAGCTTTTGGAAAGTATTTAGTAACAGTGTTGTGCCTTTGTTCTTTCTTAGCTGGTTATTTCCTCTTTGCAATCTCAGCCAACAACACTTTGTCTATTTGATGTTTTGTACTGTGTACTGAAGGATTGAAGCAAGGGCAGAACCAAGCAGTAGGGAGTGTGACTTCAAGGTGATTTCAAGACAAGAAGGGAAGGAAAGGAAATCTAGGGGAAAAAAACAACTTCTGAATTTAAGCCCAGAAACCTGTAAGAGAAAAAACCACCTAGAAGTGGACCATTTGTGGAAAATGTGCACAGATAGGGACAAGATGAGCCTCTGAGAATTTCTCTAACCCTTAAGCACAGGCAGGCTTCCTGTGACAATCCTACCAGGTCTCTTCCCTCCTCCTCTCCCACTCCCATTCTCCATGCTTGCCTTTCCAGAACAAGAACCTTGACTGGTTCCCCCGGATGCGAGCCATGTCTCTGGTCAGCAATGAAGGGGAAGGGGAACAGAATGAGATCCGGAATCTTCAAGACAAACTCAATACCACGATGAAGCTGGTGTCCCATCTCACCTCCCAGCTGAACGAGCTCAAGGAACAGGTATTAAACACTTCTAAAATAGGAACACGTGAGGAACACCTGGCTGGAAACCCACTGTCCTTACCAAAATAGTCACCAACTGCAAGGAACAGGCAGGACCAGCCCCTGCCCGTACAACTTCGGATACAAAGCAAAGGGCTCCTGCAGCCCTTTTTGGAGGGGGTGGTCAGGGACACTTGGGGCTAATAGTTGTCTTCCTCATCAACTGGAGTCCAACTCGCAGGGATTTTTGACAAAGGCTTAAAGCAGCCTTGTCAGCCCCACACTTGAGGTGTGTCAGTGACCAGAAAGGCAGCCTGGTTTCCTACCTCACCCTGTCCTTGTTTGAACCGCAGATGACAGAGCAACGGAAGCGCAGACAAAGGATGGGGTTTGTGGATGTCCAGAATACCATGAACCACTAAGACACAGCCGAAGCACTGGCTTCACTCACCGAGGGACTGTGCTATGCATCAGCTACGAGGCTGCTTCTTCCTGGGTTCCACACGTGGCTGTTGCTGTCGGGGAGGGACGGACTATGCCAAGGACCTCAGCCACCGTTTCCCATAGCGTGCTTGTAAGCAATTCAGGAGCCAGGGACTGGCCAGGATTCCTCACAATACCTGGACCCACACGCTACTCTAATGCCCTTGTAGGAAGATAAATTATACAGGACTTTTAATTCCTCATTGCAATAACTCTTTATTTTGCAAATGTGGAGGGTTGTATCTTTATCTCCATGCGCTGCATTCTGAGGGCCTCCCCCTCAGGTGTAGTGCAAGTAGCTGTAGGGCTGCAATATTTAACTTATTCCAAGAGTGGCACTAGTACATGTGGATCTTTGCAAACCAGCCATCGTATTTGCTGTACCTGCTCCATGCTGATCCCTCTCCATTTAAAGAATTCTGTTCATCACTGGGGTGCAGTAAAGAGAAGCTGAACTCAAGGAGATGGATTTGTTAATTTAACTCACCAGATGAGTATCCAAGCTTGTACTAGTGTGAACTAGTCCTTTCTTTTCCTTCTGTGGACCAAGAGCATCTGGGCAGTAGTAGTAGGAGAGTGCAGGTTTACAGGAGTTCACTGTGAAGGGGTGTCCTGTGTTTTAGTTTCATCTCTGGTGTAATGTTTTACTTTTGTTGTTGTTGTTGTTACTTAAGAACTGAAGTGTAAGTTGCCTTAACTAAATTAAATACAAAATCATGTTATAATAAAAACTTAAACATGGTCAAGAAAGCTCCTTTCCTGTGCACTCTGCCATGTAATGGGGCTGTTACACATAGGGATGCAGAACAGTCCAAGGACCTGAAGCCAAACCTGGGCTGTATTATCCAAGGTGCTCCACAACCCAGTGCTCTCAGCTCCAGCTGTTAAACATTAACATGTAGTACGATGCTCCAGCCAGAACAAGAATCCTACCTTAAACACCAGCCCTGTTTTCTGAAGCTTTGGATTGGCGCCTGCTGCAAAGTTTCAAATTCTTTCAGTACTTGCCAGGAAAACACTGTTCAAATACATAAAAAGGACATAAAAAGGAGCAGCTGCTGGTGCTGCCTGGAGCCAAGCAGCATCCTGGCAGAGCTGTGTTCTAGACACTCATCCTGCCCAAGCCAAGCAGTGCTGCAGGCACCCCAGCTCCAGCCTCTGCCTCCCGAGAATAGACACTGATGCAAGTATTAAAGCTTTAAAAAGGAATTAAAATAGGCCACAGCAATGGACTAATCACAGTTGAAATTTATGGCCCTATATACCAGCATGTCATTAAAACCTATCATCTTTAACCCTCAAATACGCAGTAACCCACAGAACCTACTCGTCATGCTGAGGGAAAGCTGCAACACACCCCAGCAGCATCTGATTGAAATCTCAATTAAACCCTTGCACCACTCCACTGTCACCGTGGTAAACAGGCACCCCTGGGCCTCTCCTGTGTCTTAGAAGGAAAATAAATGTGATGATTAAAGTATCCCTCCCTCAATTTCACTGTTTCCAGTGCTAACACAGAGACACAAGTATAGCTACGTTTTCACATCACTACTGTTACCTTCACAAGCCCATTCAAAGCTAACATAGTTGCACCTACTGCCTCTGTGCTTCTCCTGCTTGTTCCACTTCTCCTAATACAAAGGATCACTTCTAACACCACTAAGATCTTTCCTCTGCACTACATTGCTCCAATAAGGTTTCAGCACAATGTGTCAAACATGTCCTAGATTTTCAGGAAAAGAGGGGGCACTAAATATGAAGGGTGTAGGGCTGAACAAAAATGCTGTTGCTAGGAGGAATAAATGGTTTTATTCATCATGGCAACGTACAGTGTTCAGGAATATATACAGTGGAGAATTGGAGCTGGCCTATCACTTGGAGTCCTCTTCAGGTTTCTTGGCATAAAACTTTTCTCGCAGTTTTTTCCACATCCCTTTTTTCATGTCTTCCATCTGTTGCAGAACGTCTGCGAAAGGAGAAAAGAGAGAGCTGGGGAAAGAGAAAGAAAAGCAGAGAAGCAACGGAATGAAAGCCCTCTTAGAACAGCTCTGCCTTACGTATATTTCCCTTTTTTTGACTTTCATCTTAATGAATTTCTATTTTGGGGCCCAAACCAAGTCTGTTTTCCCTTCCAATCTATTGTGCAGGGAGTCTCTTATCACTAACAACTAATATTCAGTTTCCACACACTGCAGTCAAAGTTAGGAACTGGAGCAGAACAAAACTGCACTAGCTTCCTACACTGCACTTACTTACTTGATAAATGATCTGGGTGAGAGTATTCCTGCATCATGGTACCCTGTTTTCTCTCAAAGTCTAACAGAAAAAACCACCGAAGGGAACTTGAAGATGGTGAAACAGAAGCCAAGCTGTATTTTGGAGTGACACAGTGAACGTGCCTGTCTTTCACACACTTCCTGCAATCTGATGTCAAAGAGCCCTTGCAAACTCTTTGCTGTTCCTGCCCAGTGCAAACTACAATTGACTTTTCACCCTGACAGATTACTGAAGATCTCCTCAATTACTCCTCATTAAACATCCTAATACACTTGCACAGCAGTCCCATTCTGTCCTTTAGTCACAGGTATTCAGTGGGAGTGATGCAGTGAACACTGCAAAGACTAGAATGTGCTTCATCTCCTGCACTGACTTATTCTCAGATCAAGCACACTATCAGTACCTGTTGCTAGTATCATCTTGCAATCTTCTACTGTCACTCCTGTGAAGTTTGTGTCTTTCAGGCGTGGATACTGCACAAGGGAGCAAGCAGGTGAGAGAAGGAGAGAGAGGCAGAAAAGGATGTTACTTGTAGTGCATTAAAAAAGGTAAAAAAGTCACCATATGGTAGAATCTGAGCTCAGTTTCAGTTGAGCTCTGGGAATTCTGTTCATCCATACCAAGAACCATTCACACATGTCACAGAGAACAAGACGTCTGCAGCTTTCCTGGGGTGACCAAAGGCACCAGGTCGTGCTGCATCCACCCAACTGCTCATTTGTCTGTTCAACACTTCCAGAAATCCTGCTGGGATGAGGCAGCCAATGCCAGAGGAGGGAGGTGACTCAGCCCCTAAAAGAGGGGTGATGGCTAATGCCAAAGCTCACCTTGTTTTTGTAGTAGTTGGTGTGGATTCTGACTAAGCTCTCGTACATTTGGTCGCAGTTCTCAGGGTCAGCAATCTGGAAAGGGATAAAAGTATTACACGAGTTTTACTTTAAACCTCCATAGCAAACCCCACCTCGTTTCAAGACTTGTGAAAAGAACAGTCAAGGAGCACCTTCGGTGACTTCCCAGTGCAATGTAGGATGCTTGTGACCCCTACTATGGCTGCTCCAGAATGCAGACCATTTTCTTTCCCCTCTACTTCTCACCAGTTCGGTGAATAACGAGGCATGTGGTTTCCAGAAGGGACCTTAAACTGCTCAAAAAGACTTGACAGATCAACTGTGAATACACAGGTAATGAGAATACTGCTGGACAGCTTTCTCACTTCTATAGCACTGGGAAACCTGAAAGACTTCTTGTTCAAAGGCCAGTTTTGCCTCCTGTTTGATACTAAAGCATCGACTAGAATGATGTACCAGGATGGAAGTTAGAAAACCCTGGTGCAGGCTAAAAATACTTCTAACTGATCAGGGAAAAGCAGCATGAAAGACACTGCACAGCTTGTGAAGGGTAAATGGATTTCTATTTTGGTCTAGTAGGTTGGAAAGATCTTGGTAATAACTAAACCTCTGCTAGGTGCCTCTGCCTTGCAGAGCCATCGAGTTAGCAGCGTGGCTGGCACGTCATCTTGGTTTTCTGCTTTAGAGCGGGGGCCAACTTGACCAGAACTCTGCATTGCTGCCCAGTGACATCAAACATAACTGATTCAAACGGATACATGAATAAGAATAGCATCAACAGAAGCACGTCAGGATAAAATGACACGGCTCATCCGTCCTTGGGACACTGGCTCAGGTTCAGCACAGGGCGAGTAAGGCCTCCCCTGCACCAGCTATAGGACTAAAGCAAGGCTCTCCTTATTCAGGAGGTAAAGGCTGCTGCAGGAGAGAGGATACACAGACAGACAGTCAAAAGTAAGCACGATCACAACGCAGATCATCTTCAGCTTAACATACCTTGCACTCACATCTCAAATGAGCCTGCTAATGTTTTAGTAATGATAGCAGCAACAGCTACTAAATGGGCAGCAGAAACAGCATTCCCCCACCCTGTACAATCAGCGAATCTTATTCCACGTGAATAAACCAGACATTAGCCTGATTAAGTATCCTTTATGGCTCTAGTTCTTTTCTCAGACATTCCTCCTGCTGTCTGCCAGTACATTTCCTTAGCTATATTAAGCCTTTATACATACAAATAGACATCAGTGCTGTAGGCATCAATTTCGATTTTCAAGATGAGTGGCAGCTTTGGGACCTTGCAGCCAACCAGTGCAGCACATTCAGCTGTCCTGAGCACAGGGAAAAGCAATGAGCACTTTCTGAAATGGCTGCTGCAGACTGTTCTGGTGACCAACAGAGAATTAGGTACCTGTAATGGCCCCTCGAAGTAGAAAACCCCTATCTGGAATGTTTTCATGCAGAGAAAGGGCACTTTTATGCTCCACAGCAACACCTCTGTGCCTCTAAAGACCTGCAGCCCCAAGTCAAGCATTGACTTGTCTAATTTATTTCAGCACCAAAGCCTGAACTCCAATACAATTACGCTGTAGCTGGAATCCAATTTTACAACCACTGCATCCTAACAGTGCCAGGCTACGCTGCATTTCACTATGTACTGCCCATGCATCACACTATCATCACGGGGAGCAAAACCTCTGTGCCTCTAAAGACCTGCAGCCCCAAGTCAAGCATTGACTTGTCTAATTTATTTCAGCACCAAAGCCTGAACTCCAATACAATTACGCTGTAGCTGGAATCCAATTTTACAACCACTGCATCCTAACAGTGCCAGGCTACGCTGCATTTCACTATGTACTGCCCATGCATCACACTATCATCACGGGGAGCAAAACACAAGCATCGACTCAATTCCA